AAACCGGCGGTTTAAAATTGGACCAAACCGTTAGGTTTACGTTTGAGTTTTTCTCAAACCGGTCAAAACGGTTTGGTTTGAAAATTTGTCAACAATCGCAAAAATAGGACTGCTTACACTCCTAATATGTACAGAATTTTTGATAATATCCACTCACGTGTGGGGGCCCACCGGAATTAAAAAAATAAAAAAACCCACCACCCGCATTGTGTGTATCTGATTTTCTTCTGTGAAACCATGCTTCTGCACATGAAGCATGGTTCTAAAATATCCTTATTTTGTAGTGACGCTATTTTAATTCGTCACGTGACTTCCTTCTTCATACATACATGGTCGAGCCTAGGGTCCATGTGGGACCATATTGTGCTACGTGGAATCGCATAGTAACAATATTCTGTTATTCACTTGATATACGGCATGTCGATTTTGAAATTTAATCTATTTTGCCAACCAGCACTGCAATGTTAATATAAAGATAGTTTATTCAGAGTACCCTTACTGCACTTTCTTTGTTACTAAAAGATTTGGAGGCTTTTCCACTCACATGGTGTCCATTGGCGCCAAATTTTAGGCTTATCGATTTCAAAAATGTCTATAGAAGTGTTATCAATTTATTCGTTTGCATTAGGAGCCATTTCTTTGATTACTTTTGTCACTACCAGAGAGCTTTTAGATATTTCTAATGTTCTCTTGCCAATTCTAGAGTGCGAGATTCACTTTACTAAAGATTGCAAAATACTTAATTAAAAAAATTAAGCGTAATAATTTCAAATCTCTTGAGTGAATGATATGATATATATGCGTAGTTATTAAAATTGAATCGAATTGACCAATCTGACTGAAAATTTGACTACCCGAAATGCCAACCTATTCGACCAACGATCAACTATCGGTTGAATTTGACCGCCGAGTAAAAAGTGATCCAACATTTCACTACACCACAATCAGTATCTTTACACATGAATGTATTCATAATGTATATACAGAATTCCAAGAAAAATCATCTATTTATTTTTGTAAAATACACTCAAACATTTTTAATCTGCACTTACAAAATATTACATTAAAGTACATATAAATATAATTTAATAATTAAATGAAAAAAATTTAAAGAAAATATTTTTAGTAACTTTTAAAGCTAGTACAAAAATATTCATATAAATTAAATTGTGGTGAAAAAGCAATGTAAGTATTTCTCATAGAAAAGGAAAAATTATGGGGAAGAGGGGGCTGGAAATCTGCTAAGGATAAGCCATCATAAAAGCAAATTCAATTGCACGCATCCCAAACAGCTCTGCCGTCATCCTATTTTTCTATTTTTCTCGCACGCAACATCGAAATTCGACAACGCGAATTCTTGATACAGATAAGCAAATTCGCATATTGTGTTCTCAATTACAAAATCAATCATCTGAAGTGAAAAAATGCAGGCAAGTGCAGATGTTAATCAACGGATTGCCAGAATAGCCGCTCATCTTAATCCGCCCACTAATAATCTACAGGTGCTTTTGAATATCCCAATTATTTTCTATTATTTTCTGTTTAATTCATTTCCCGTTTGGTTTCTGACTGAGATAATCAATCCTCACCGGTGAAAGTTGACTTCAATTTAATATGATAACGATCAATTTTCAAAATTCTGAAGCTTTTTCGTTCATTATTGTAGTTTCATTTAGGTTTCAAAACACAAAGGATCAGAAGTTCTAGCAAAAATTCCTATTTTCTATTGAACTCTGTTTTCTTTGGAATAAATTGTTACAACTGAGTGACTATAATTTGATCATTCTGTCCGGTTTGACTAACGGGCACGTAACTGTTTTCTAGATGTGGATGAATTCACCAAATTGTGATGAAGCATACGTTAAATGATCAACTTGAAATAAAATGAAATTTGATGATCAATAAGACATTTTTGCTAAAAATTTAGCTATCCTCGTTTTCATAAGCAACGTGGGATTTTAAAAGTGATCATGTCCATTCTAATTACAAAGTGTCTTGAACAACCCTTGTCGCTTTTTAATTATTTGGTTGCTTGAATTTGGAAGAAGCTTGTGCTTTTCTTGGATCATTTTATTGATTAAACTAAACTGTTTTTACTTGTGGGTATATGAAACGTGGACTCAAAGATGGAAGGGAGTTCGAATTTGAGATGGGAGAACTGCAGGGCAAAAGGGGGATCACCAGGATTCAAGGTGGCAATATTGGGTGCAGCAGGTGGCATAGGCCAGCCTTTAGCAATGCTTATGAAGATGAATCCACTGGTTTCGCTACTTCATCTTTATGATGTTGTAAACACTCCAGGAGTGACTGCAGATATCAGCCACATGGACACTGGTGCTGTGGTAATTCATTTTTTATCATTTTTAATTTCCATTATTTAACTGATATTCTATTATTTGTTAGTTTATTTTATCAAAGTCTTCCATTAACTTTCTTGGACTTTGTTGAATAACATCTGAAAGCAATGTATATGAATCTACAAATTTAAAAAATTTCCCTTATGTTAGAATGTCTTCCCCAAGTGTGTTCTGTAGGTCCAACGACAACTTGGACCTGGACTTGTGCTAATGACGTGGAATAGAATTAATGTGTCTTTGTAAAAGAGTCATAGAAGGAAAGGATCTAGTCCGTTACTCCTTCCGAGTATTTTGGAATTTCCTCAGTGTATTGCCCGATCATAATATCTGAAGTGCTTATTGTAGAAAGGAAGAAAAGAGAGGAGATCATTTCTGACTTCATTGGCTTGTCAATGTTTACAGGACTTAAATACATATGCGGATATAAAAGAAAGAAATAAACAGTCTAATCTACAGCTGACAATCCCCAGAAATGTGTCTAATCTATATCTATACAATCCCCATGAGTACTCCATAATCTACTCCCTATCTAGAGCATGTTTGAGCCCCATTTTTTGGAAATAATGCATTTTGAAATAGTATTTTGATAGAGAATGCGTGGTTAAAAACTAAGAAAAAGTTTTGGATTTGCGTGTAATATTATTTTATTGAAGATGTGTGGTTGAAAATAAGAGAGGAAAATGTATTTTGAAAATAATGTAGACCAAACAAGGGACTAATGCACAATCATTGACCAAACCAGATTCCATAACAGCAATACAGCTAATTCAGCTATTTTCTGAAATCCCCTCAAGCTGTTTCAAAAATCTCTCATTTTCAACTTCCTAACACCAAAATGGAAAGTAGGTCTTGGTCGTCCTTTGGTAAGAATATTTGCTTATTGTTTGTTGCTAGAAACAAATGGAATACAAATCTGCTTTCTTTCAATCTTCTCTTGGATAAAATGCCTATCAACTTCAACATGCTTGGTCCTATCACACTGAACGGGATTGTGAGCAATGTTGATTGCAACTCTATTATTGCAATACAACTTCATTGTATCCTCTTGAACAACTCGTAGATCCTTTAACAATATTTTTAACCACAATTATTCTCATTCTTTGAGCCATTTCTCTGAATTCAGCACTTGATCTCTACACCACATCTTACTTCGGTTTGGTTTCCTGTGTCAGGTGTATTCTTGTTGTTGTGCCTTTGATTGTCTATGTTTTGGATGTCCATTTCCCCTTGTTGTTCATAGGCCATAGGCTTTAACTCTTATTGAAACACTCACTCTCAATTGTCTAGTATGAACATACGTCTTCTTTGGACTTTGTTTCAGTCTCTATGTTGACTATTAATGTAGGGGTGAAACTCTCATGCCTTGTATTCTTCCACAACTCTAGACAAACTCATCTTTATGAACACTTTACTTGTTAGTTTTTGGAATCGTCAAAACCTGAGGGCTTTAAGAAATCAAGTCCAATCCTAAATCTAACAAATTTCTTGTAACTTTCACTAGATCTCAAAACTTAAGCTCCGTAGTTCCAATGACAAAGGGATTGTTGGAATAAGTATCAATGCTGTAACTAGTGTGTTGAAGTGAAGGTAAATCCCGGAATATCACCAAAAAGTAAGAGTTGAGAAAGAACACGTGGGGTGTTAAACTTGGATGGAATAGATCATAGTTAGTCGGAAATCAATTGAATTATTTGGTTCCAAATAGTAAATTCACTTGCAAGAAAGTAAAAGTACTCAGTAGGAATGTATTGCCCTTCTTCTTCCACAAGTTTCGTCCATTAGAAGTAAAAAATTAATTCATATTGATACTTATCTATGAAATTGATAAATAGGCTCATAAAATTTAACTATATATTTGGATGTCCAGGTTCGCGGTTTTCTGGGGCAACAACAATTGGAGGATGCTCTTACGGGCATGGACCTCGTAATCATTCCTGCTGGTGTGCCCAGGAAACCTGGGATGACAAGAGATGATCTTTTCAACATCAATGCAGGAATAGTTAGGACCCTATGTGAAGGAATTTCAAAATGCTGTCCAAAGGCCACTGTTAACCTTATTAGTAATCCTGTGAACTCGACAGTGCCAATTGCGGCAGAGGTTTTCAAAAAAGCTGGCACCTATGATCCAAGACGACTTTTGGGAGTCACGATGCTTGATGTTGTCAGAGCTAATACCTTTGTGGTAAGATTTGTTTGCTTTGGCATGTTGATCTCTGTCTATTCTATATACTAGTGGAGGATCATGCGTTGCACGATTACTATTATAAT